GTTTGCTTCAAGTGAAAGCCGGAATAAACGTCATTTGGTTTTGACCACAAGTGAGGCCATAATGCACCACTCATTAGCAACATCTGCTACACGTGGGACTATTGGTTTGCGTTGATTGGTTCAAATTCGTGGGAGGTAAAGCGTCTTGTCAATTTCGACTTTCGCTTGTCAAAAATTTGTCACAGTGTTGATTGGGAGACTTTTTAACACAATCACGCCCCTAAACTTCTCGTTGAATATTGTTTCTTGGTTCACCGTGAACTATGATCACCATAAACACTCCCTAATGTCTACCCCTCGTTTTCTACATAGCTAATCATGCGAATTCTGTGTTTCCGTTGCCATTATGTGTAAATATTAGGCAGTTTTTGTTGTTAGCGAATTATGCAAACTCTTCTCTCCCAATGTTGTCACATTGTATGTAGCACACCCAATATGCAAAATAGGAACGTTTTGTTTATGATCTTGCATTTTTTACATCTGCCTGGTGATGCGAAATATGAAGGAGATAATAATAATAACACACGCAATATGATCTGCAATTTATGATTTTCAGCAACGATGTTTTTGAGGAAGAAGCTTATTTTAGAAGAGAGCTGAAAAACGGACTTAACTTAAGCTTACACTCCTGCAGGTGAACGAGCTGTCAAGTGCAAACAATAATTTCCTTTAAATTTAGCATATGAATTTCGGACAAGCTAGGCCACCCGCGAGCTTCTTATTTCCAAATGCCTTCTGATCATACGTTCAGAAATCCACCTGGAGCTTATAGTTTTAGTTTTCGATTTTTTTTACGAGTGTGTGACGCACTTCCTTAATTTTCCTTTTTGAATGTCTGGACGTTTTCTTAGCAGCGCATTTCACATCTACAATAGTCTGGACATGCATGATGGCCCACCAGCGACATCAGTTATGACATGTGCGTTTCCAATGTTTGTAAAATTATTAGTGAAATCGATCAGTTAAGGAATACCCAGTCACGAAATGAACAAGGACGATTAACCAAAGAAAAATCAGTGAAAATTCAGTGTTAAGAAGCAAAATACAAGACTTCCGTCTTTTGCACGAAAATAGAACTGACAAGTCATCTCTTATTCATGGTTATCATTAAGCTCTCAAATTTGGCGGCAACTTTGGATATTGAAGCACCTCAAACATAAAGAATATATTGTGAGGCAAATGAGTTTAGCTGGGAGGAGTTTGACAATTATAGAGTTTATTCCCTTGGTGGTTCTTTTCGTTTTGAGTCCTCGATACGCCTTTTGCTTTTTGTGACGAAATTTGGACGGCGTAAACTTTGAAGTTTTTTAAAAAGGACTTAAGAATGCCTCTTGTTGTATCTAAAACCACACAAAACTTCTTGAAAACATTACACAAACCCTTGCGGTTGTCTGTAGGTATTACCATCGATTTAAAAGCAAATAGTCTTAATCCAGACATTCCGGCTAATCCAAATGAACCAATAAATATATAGGAATTTTTTTACTTAAGAGAAAAAGATATTTATTGCCCCTCTAAACTTAACAACTATTTTATTAGACAATTATTTAGAATTTAAGTTTGATATGCTATCGTAACAACATACAGAGAACTGTAAATGGCGTTTTGTTTGGGTTTTTCATCATAGCCATGGACAGGTATAACCTGATTTACAGTGACCTACAGTGCTCTTTGTAGCCGCCGCAAAATAGTTCATTGAGGACAACAAAGTCTATTGTAACTTTTGGTGCCATTTGATGCGGTTTGCTGTGATGTGTTATTTTACATATTCACTGTCAATTACTATCACTTCTAATAGTCTGAAGTGTTGAGAGCTTGTTAATTATATGCAATGCGTAAGACACTTGACTGGAGTAGGCGTGATAAAGCACACTGTTTACAACACATTGTCCAAGTAAAACCACTGCAACCATCAACAAGATCGGCTTAAAATACAGCACTGGGTTAGAATAATTTTACAGTACCGCGAATTCAACTTAGCAAAACGAAAATAAGCTAAACACAGCAGTGTACGAACATTGATTTTCAATATAACTGATATAACTGGATCAACAGATTACTGCTCATACGATGAAGAGTCTGTCAGCTGAACATGGTGGCTGATTGAAACAACCAAAAGCAATTTCATACATTTGCAAAGAAGAGTTATGTTCCTTTCAATTTTAAACCGATATTAATCGTGTAATGTTTGCAAAAAGCATATTAGTAACGACATTTTACTGTGCAAGGTTTAAGATGGTCAGTGGGGCATTAATAATCCAGTTTCTTTGTAAATACCTACAAACAAGACATAACCTCAGAGGTTGATAGTCATTAATAGCCAATTAATAATCCAGTACGAACAAAGATTGTCAAATGAACAAAACGCTGAATATAGCCGGTTTGATTATTGTGGTCCGCGAGGTTACGCTGGTATTTCTAATTACAACCCCCGCAAGGGAAATTCGTGACCAAAGCCGAAGTGCTTTACGCAAAGACCCATACTTCCTTGAAGATTCTATTAGTCACTTCAGATACTCAAAGTCAAGGTCATTGGTTGGATTGATGCCATCTCAAAGTTTGTAATTGTCATATTGGACCTTACACGTGTTTATTAATTTAATTCAGATATGCAATGACGTGCTTGAAGGTTTTCGCTTGATATTGCTTTTTATGTCTGTCAAATACGTCTCGGCCTCTCCTCATCAAAATGGATCGACAGCAATTGCGAAGCTGGTAAATCACAACAAACAAACAAATCAAACATGATTCGCCTGACGATAAAACTAACAAAAATTCCATCTTGTTTTCTACTCCGTTTATATTTGCTCTTGTTATTTTCCATGAAATCAGAGAGCCGCCGAAGTGTTACATAACGACTATTTACTGAGCATAGTGTTAATTAACGACTGATGCAGTCTTTTCCGTTGTCCATCTGGGGTTGTTCTAGTTTTACATGTTCAAAGTTAAGTCCCTAAGATGTCAGTGAATGCTGTGGAATCTTGAAATTACATCACCTCGTGTTCTTTCAAAAAATAAAACAGTCTTCATAAACATATCGTCGATATCGGCCCAAGAATATGAGACCATTAGATAACAGTAAATTGAACTCGGACTTAACGTTCAAATAGAAACTTTGTAATGAAATGAACTGGTTGTGCAGATTGGTTACCAAAGTGTTTTACTCTGGCAGCAGCTGGCGAGAAAAGACGGTAACAAAACTGTAAAACCGCTGTACTGTGCAAGTAAAGAAATGAGACATTAAGTGAATGTCCTTTGTAATCTTTGATCCTTCACGTGTAAACGATATTGATCAATATATACTGGCAATGAAAAAACAGAAGTCTCCGTCGGAATGAAATCAAATAAAAAATCTTTATCATTCCTATGAATCTCTATCTTGTTCTTAAAACTTGTGATTGCTCAAAAGTGTGTATAAATTAACAATTAACACTTTGAGTCGAGCTCATTTCAAATGAGAGAACAAAATACTTCGCGATCCCACTTCTCCAGAGAGCAAATCGCTTAATTCATGTTAAAAGAGCTACACAAACCTAGAAGGGTTCGGCCGACCTGAGTTTATGGTGTTAGAACTCAGCTGCAGGGTAAAAACAAATTATACTCCAGCTATTTCTAAGTTCTATCTCTGCAGAAATCTCAGTGCTTGCCATGCATTTAAGTCGACATGTTAAAATTTCTGCAGACTGTAAGTATCTAAAACGTGATTAAATTTCTGTGGAAAGCGCTGAACTGCACCTGGCGCTTGTATGAGCAGCATGAACATTTGAAAATTCAAGACATGCGTATTGGGCGTAACGATACTATCGACCGCCGGTCGGACAGTCGGCTGTGACTCGTTATGTCAGTCGCCATTAGGTCGCTACATTTCGGTATGTGGTCCGTAAATGCTAGACCCGATATACTCAACAAAAAGATTGAATGGTCCATTGAATGACGCATTTCCGTCAAGAGCCTTCTTGATCAGTATTAAAGATATAAACAGCCACCACGGATTGGCCTCTTAGAGCTTCTTAACCCATGATATCATTCTGAAACCTATGTTTTTATCATAGCGGAACAAAATTCCCTGATGAAAGCAGAACGGCTGCAAGTTTTACGTGTAAATCAAAATGATACCTGTTGAAAGAGATGTTTTGTGGATAAGTGTCCCCTGAACTGGTGTAATATTTGTATTGGGCTCCATTAAGAAAATAAGGTAACGTTACAAAAATCCTGCTCCCTGGGTTGGACGCAAAAAAGAGCTTCCTTTTATCGATCAAGGGCCATTGACCCGCAACTTGAAAACAAATTCATATACTGTTTTAAAACTACCTTTGGAGAATACAGGAAGACGATTTCGAACAAATTGGTTGCAGCTCTTCGGTTCGACTTTTGATTGGAACTAAACAGTTAAAATGTGTGTGTATGTGTGTGTGTGGTAGGGGGCACAGATGTCTGTCGCTTGGCAACTCGTAGATAACAATATTCAAACTTCTGAACGAAAACCAAATTAATATCCAAATACAATTTCCAATGACTGTATCTGTTTTTACAGATGCGACCTAACGCGTGAAAATAATTAAATATAGTGGCCGGCGGAAGTACAAGTTGACAAGAGTGCGCACAAATTGGTGGACAGCCTTATATATTATTCCCATTTCGGTTCAAGCTGCTCTAAACACTTAGGAGCGAAACCCGAATATCTGAGAAATCTTTTGAAAACTGAGTACTCCAATTTTCGCCTTCATTCTGACAACCAGAGAATCAAGAACAGAGATGCATAAATCTCCGTTTTACTCAAAGTGATAAGCTTCTGGCTAAAATAAATGGATTACACGACGAATAACAATTCCACAAATAGCTGCAGGCTATGGAAGATTAAAAAATTATTGCAATTAGGGCATTATTGAAAAAACCACACCGAAGGAAATTATCTGACTTGTCAATTTTTCAAGATGAGTCGGTTTGTCTTTAACTAAGTAAAGATTGTATCAAAAACGCTTTACCGCTACCATTTAATTTTCCTAAAAAAGATCGGTAGGATAATGTTATACTGTCCAAACAAACACAGCAAGACAGATCGGTGACAGATACACCTGTTCTGTTAAAAGAAAGTGATTATTGCCTCGAGGCCCAGTATTCATCTTATCCAAGGCACCCTGTGAACTAAAGTGTCCTGCTTGTAGGAAGTCAACTAAACAACTCTGGATCCGGGGACACGGAAAAATATAATTTTAAATGGTTGCTTGAAAAAAGGCACTTCAAGCTATTCGGTTCTTAAAATGGAAAATTACCATTTTTTGCGATAAAATGCGATTTCGTGACAAAGTAACGAAGAAACACCAAACATTGATGTTTTCTTTAAGTCCGACTAAACTGTTCTCAAGTGAGTTGCACGCGATCTCAAAAAGTAATTCAATAGATTGGCTGTAGTGCTTTTGCAGGGCCACAGAATTACGGAAGCGCTGGCTAAATTAAATAATATAGAGTCATTGCTATTTTCCGTAAAGTGACCTTTTTATAGCTTTTCTCTAACCAGAAAACGATATTTTAAAAAATGAAATAACAACTAAAGGAATGAATCAAGACATTTCCGAAGCACGCGGTGACAATTATTTCTTTTAATGAAAATTCAAGCCAGCCATGGAACGCGCACTTTTATACCTCTTGGTTTTAAACCATGTACAGCACATACTAAATATACTGTCTGTATTCTACTATTTACATTTGACATTAAAATTTGAAAAGTATGAACATTACGTCACTTTAAGCTCTTGACGCAGGTTAACATTCAAATTAAAAAACTGGTGATGTTTGAAGAACGCTGTTTGAGTAATTGCACCCTTCAAGTCTTCGTTTGGTTTTAACGATTCCTGAAAAATAATAATAATAAATAAACTAAAAAAAATAAATATTTCTAATAAACACAATGAAACGACCTTCCAGATAATGATATGCCACACAAAGTTAAGCCTATCTTAGCTGGACGGCAGAAAAACCTAGTTTGTTGGGGTGTTTCGGGATTCTTTCAGACACATACTGATACTAAAACCAGTTATAGCGGCTATAATGTTTTATGCCCCCCCCGCCCCAGCCAAGCATCGAGAAGTGCAAGTCTCCGTTTTTGAGCCAGTATTAAAATGGACAACATTGCATCGGGTATTGAAGGAGGAAGAAGTAGATTTTAAGGGTGTTTGTTGTAGTTACGGAAACTATTTTTGTGGCGGAGGTATTGTGCTGCGTCTTTATAATCCGTTGTTTAATGTTATTTGATGATCGCGCAATCCGCAACGGCGAACAAGAAACTAGGATTTTGTGATGTGTCATGTCGATACAGACCTTCGACAACACACACACAAAGGAGTTAAGACATATCTGTTAATTCGCAGTTGGTGCCCGGAAAAATTCAACTGTTATAAGGATCTAGCTGAAAGCTTCAGTTCCTGTTCCTCAAAATGACGTCACAAATCATATCATGACGGCATGTTCCGTTGAAAGTAATCCGATATACGAGTAAATGGAATTTGCATTGAAAAAATTAATGGGCTCCAAGAATAATTCAAACGGCTGGCCTTTCATCAGGGTGAATTTGCCCTGACGAAGGGCTCGCACTAGAAACGTCAGCTTTTCAATCTATTTATGGTGGTGATAAAGCACATTTTTTTTTGCTTCCAAACGACGCCGAACCTCATTTTCTTTAGAAACTAAAGCCTTCATTCCTGACTAAAGTCGACCAAGGATTAACCACGACATGATTATGACGTCACTCAGAAGGCAAGATCCCAATAGAAAGGATTGTTATTAAAGCTTTTGCCGCCAAAAAAAACAATTGACGCATCCAGGGTGACGTCATCAGTGTGGACACCGACGACAAAACGAAAAGCTGTTCTCTCAAATTGTTCTCAAATTCCACGCAACTTGTTCCCTACAATACGTCTTTATGCGTATTAATCCATGTAACCCTACGATAATAATTTAGGCAGTTAAAAAATAGTCTGCCCAATTGTAAACAGAGGGTATTCCAAACCTTCTTATGAATGTGATCTGTTGTTTGAGCCCCAGATCCCGCGCTTGTATGAGACGTGAGAGGTAACAGAGTAAATCGTGGTGGATTGGGAGCTAAAGGCATAACGTTGTGTTGATCATGGGATCCGGAGGAAGGCCGATGTGTGACTCCAAAGGAATGAGTGGCATGCTTGTCCAGACTTGCTAACACACCAAATAAAACCTTAACAAACAGAAAATTTAAAGGCACCTTAAAAAGACATTCCACAACCTCGTTCTCAGTGTCTTCTCTCCTCCTATTTCGAGGGAGGAAGAGAGAGGACAGCTGTCTACGGCTGCCACTGCCAGGGTGATATGGCTGTACGCATGCGTTAGGTACTGCCCAAGCTGTGAGTAAAGCCGTGACTTACATTCTTGACCCCAGCACGTACGTTGGCTGTCATGCGCAGAAGAGCTCTAAGGTCGAGATTGCTGTGAGTTACGGTAAAGTACATGTGTCATGTGCTGTTCAGTTTGTTGAAGAGAGAGGACTCTGGGAACGAGGTTAAAAAATTCTGTCGAACAAACTACGTGTTGGAGTTGTGTCCACGATAGACTGACTGTCCCAGACGAGGAAGACCTTTTCTAAAGAACTCCATACCATAGACAATAGAAAGCCGCTCACAAAAAATCTAAATGATTTTAAGTCAACTGGAAGTAAAATGTCTCAAGCATATTGACCACTCTGTCCGATGAGAATACATCACAAAATCACTCATTTCATATCAATTGGCATCTTCCCTGTTGTCTACGTGAGGGGAATTATATGTGCGAAGCCACTGATATTAATACAAAGGGTTTATTCTAGATTGCGGCTTTGCGGGATTTCCGCAATTTGGAAAAAAATGCCACATAAAATTTACGTTGCCGCGTCAAATGGGGCGCAAAAAAAATAGACCCAAGGATAAGTATTTTTTTTTTTGGAAGAAGCTTTCATTTACGTTAAGCATTAGAGTCCAAATAACCTCATGTTCAGTACTTGCAAGTCTGTAAATGATAATTTCAATAAACGTTCGTTTTTCATGGAACAGTCTGTACCAGTAAGTTCAAATACCTTTTGGGGGAACCCCTTTCTTGGACCCCCTTTCTTGAAAAAGGGCCCCAGAAAATTACAGAAGGGGGCCAATTTTTTTTTCTTCCACAGCTGTATTGGGTACTCCTCTTATAACATTCAATATAAATTTATAATAAAACACAAGAGCAAAAAAAAAAAAAACCCTCATTGGCCAATTTCTTGAATAAACCCTGAATACGCTATTTTATTTTCAGGCAAATAAACTTAATTCAAGTTTTACTACAAAGACATTGCCCTTAGCTTCATTTTGAAAGTGAGGCTTTTTTTTAAGAAATACAAAAATTGCCTATTGTCAATCGATTTACGAATTAGAAGGTGACAGACGGCAAGTTGTGATTGCCGGAAACATCTTTAAGTCTCAACGGTTCATTAATAGGATGCCTATTAATCGTATACCAATTGTAAAAAATTTGAGGAAGAACCACCCACAATGTGAGCACAATTACTGACAAGGAATAAATAAATGCCATGCGTTTAAGGCACATGACAATAAAATCAGTAAACAAAGCACGCGCGCATAATGAAAAAATAATAACAAAATAATATTATTATTGGCTAAACGTACCCACAGCCCGATTTCTTAGCCGTAAATAAGCGTTTGGTTTTGACATATACTCGAAAGAATACAAAATAATTATCGTTTGTTTATACACATACCCCACATCTTTGAAGTTGCTTGTTGAGATTTGTAGCGATGTAAGGAGAAAATACATCAAGATCAAACGGGTCGACACAGCTTTCCAGCGCGTCGAGTACTTTCTCGAGACGATTAGTGAATTCCGAACCCTCACCCTCGCCTCTTCCTACCAGGATTGACGTCATGAACTTTAGATCAAACATGACCTGCAGGGCCTGGTTCTGGGTTAGAGTAGATTTGTGTTCGTTGACAAGTTTCTCGTGCCTTAATAAAACACCACGTGATAGGCACGTGACAAGTTCGTGTAACAGTTTCCTAACATGAAAATAAATAAGAAATTGGATTGACGTAACCAAAGAATTCAAGTTATATGATAACATGAGGGGAATTGGGATGTTAAAAGACAGATTTCGCAATCATCGCCTCGAGATATCGGTTTTTCGCGTAAATGTTTACTTGAATTCCCTCCTCAGGTTATGAAGTAACCTAAGGAACTGTTTTTGGGACCGCGCCGGACTCAGTGACATACGATAATAAGATGTACATGACATTCCATTGAGTCAAAACACGGCAGGCCAGATGAAAAGGAATCAGTGTAAGAACCTTTCTTAATATTGTCATTCTGCACAAGACAATCGAACACACCCAAAATAGAAAACAAACACTAATTTCTCACATCTATTAACACGCTAGTGCACGTTGAATATACCGTTACGAGAGAAATAATGGGGTGGGTGCACTTGGACTGGGAATTGTCGAGAGCTGTTTAGTCCAAATTTCAAAAAACTTAACTCCAAAACGAAGAAATTAAAAGTTACGCAAAATCTGCCCAGGGTATCTTGGGAAAGACACTATTGGTATAGGATACCTGTCTAAAGCGTGTGCCCCTGTTCTGTTAAGTTCCTGACAAAGACTGAACAACAAGGAGGTCACATGTGATGAAACCTGTCAACATGAAAAAAATAATTTAGTCTGGAAACTGAATAAAGATATAGTTGCAGCTCTCTTAAGCGACCACCTCGGAAATTCGAAGAAATGGCCGTATCTAAAGCTGGTCACTACGAGGACTTTAGAAAGTCATTAATAGCTCATTACGAAAAAATAAACGAAATTACTGTTTAATGAGTGTCTTTAAATCTGCGGATGTAAACACGGCTACACTTTAAGTACAATTTTTTAGACCAAAATAACCTCAACATCTTTATCAACGAACCATTAGCGCAGTGTGCAGTTTTATTAAAGTTTTAAAAACAAAGTAAAAGTCCAGTTGGTTCTCAAAGTGGTTGCAGTCGCTTACGAGAGCTTTTAATTACAAAATTTAAGTCAGAGTTCAAACGAGGTTTCACAAAGGTAATCGTAACTAGAGCTGGTCGCTTACGAGAGTGGTCGCAAGGTGAGCTTCGACTGCACTAGAATGACTTCTCTGAAATTTTACTAATGTCAGAAGCCTATTATCCGTTTGATATGTGCTCAATACATAACCAAACGTATCGAGCCATTTTCACATTGTCTCATCTTACTTAAACCGTGACTGCCAGAACACATTAAAAAATTCAGGCCGCGACCGCATTACTCCGGATAAATTGCAAAACGAAGCAATTCGAACAGGCCGCATAAAATCATATTTTTCGTCCGCAATCGACCGAATAAATTTTAAAACGCATCTTTTTAGGACAAAAATTAATAACGGAAAAGTTTTAACACGAGTAAACAGCCACTTGGAAAAACGTTTACGAAAAGTTGCGTTTTCAAAATGCTATTCGTCCACACTAAAACACAAAGCAGGTGTTCTCAAACTCATCCACTTTCAAAATAATGTGTTTTCAAAAAGTCCTTTTTCATTCCGTGGAACAATTTATCCAGATTAGGGGCTGTTTACTGATATGACTTTCACTCTGGAATGAGTTTCGTTCCAGAGTGAAGTTCGTAATGCATTCACACAATAAAATCGAACATCGCGCGAGACTACACGGTTTTAACACGGTTTGCGATTTTCAATCCGGAACGAAGTTCGTTTTCAGTTTACATGATACCAGAATGAAACTGCAGTCATACCAGAACGAGAATTTCATTCAGATTGAAAATGTCGCTTTTGTATCATGTAAACAAATGTAGAGAAATATTTGGAGATGGAATGAACTCGTTCCAGAATGAAAGTCATTCTGGTACCATGTGAACTGAATAACCCCTTAGTGTAGACAGTACACTAACCGTATTAAAGTTGCGTTTAAACATTTATCCTGCATAGTGTGGACGGGGCCTTAGTACAACATAATTTCAGAGGCATCAAAATAATAATCACCAAAATTGGTTTACCAAAACAAAATCCAGTAAGATATTGTAGTTGTAGCCTGTGTACCGCCGCCCCCTCCCCATCCCCTGAGAAAAAATTGGCCTCTTCTCCGATTTTTTCGGGGAGGGGGGGCTGTACACAGACCATTGTAGTTGCAAAAACCCAATTCTAGTTTCCTCTAGAATTGAGGACTAAATACCTGAGCAGGAACTCTTATAATGGACTCCACTTTCTTGCCTTCTTCTGTTTCCTCTTCAATCTTAATCTCTTCCCAGTTCTGAAAAAGAGAAGCACTGAAGGTTTCAGATATACTGAATTAAAATCGCCCGGAGAAGAGTGCAACTTTGAATTTTAATGGCCAGTATTCTTTTGGCGCAGTTATTTTCTCGGTAATTAACATTCTTTTTTCACAGTCGGCGCTTTACTACTGAGACTGGGTCATTTTGAAGAGGCTAAGTTACGAGCGGCTCGTTTCATTGACGTTCCACAAAACCAAACGTTAGTGCCGAGCAGACCACATATGATGTAAAGAAGAGGGGTGCAAAAACTTCCAGTCACTCTACCATACGACTAACGCTGGTCAAGCACCGAGAATGCTCATCTGTTTTCCCGATGTCTTCTCCGCTAATAATGAACCAGCGAACCTTTCAGGAGTTCAAAATAAACCACTTATTCTTAGACCCTTTTTATACCAGAGGAACTGTAATCTAAATAACAAACTCGCAAAACTGTTAATGAGACACACCAACCCCGTGAAAGGTGTTATGGTGGTTCCCCAGAAACTGAAAATGCTGAAATTTTTGACTGCCGGGTTTGTAGGTATTCTGGAAAGAAAGTCTACAATGATGAAATAAATTAAAAAAACTAAAGGAATTTACACTAGAAGGGATCAGTGGATAAACTTTGACTTACGGTCATTGATAACAAAGACGAACTCTTGCCACCATGTATTAACGTTGCTTCTAACGAAGATAAAAATAATGCCGAGATCCACTCTATCCACAACCTATACACAAGGAAAAGCGTCACTTTAAAACCGAATTTACCCGACAGTAGAAGTATTGAAAAAAAATTACTGACAAGAAATGAAATAAATATATATTTGTGATAAAACAAAGATTATACGTGGAATTGGCAGATATGAATGTGACTCGGTTATCACTACAGGCGCTTTGAGCTATGGAGAGCTATTGTCATAACGTTTTCGGTTTTAACGCGATGGCTACGAAACTACAGCTGTCATTCAGGAATAATTAATGGGAAATAAATTCGATTTTACTGGTGGTAAATAATTTTTATGAAATTAGCCCTCAATTCGATACTACGTGTCGAAGAAAATCTTGTCTTTTGACTAGTGAAAAGCGTTGCTAAATTTCTGGTGTCAGTTCAGTATTATTGATATCATGTAAAGCTACGTGTAAAGGGACGCAACAACTCCCAACAACATGCAACTGGGTGTGCAAACGGACGCAACACGTAACATCCAACAATGTTGCGTTTGTTTGCACAGGGCTTGATAAATATGCCAAATAAATTTCATAGAAATAGTTGAAGCAAAAGTCCTTAACTAGAAAGTCATTCAGAATTCAGCTGCGCAGTTGCTTCGTACTTTCGACAACGAATTACTCTGAGGCAGAACGAGCAAGCAATTCGAATTTTCTGGAGAGGTATTTCCATTGCCCCCTAATCACGAAGGTGATCGGCTACTTATTATAATCCACTTTTACCTGTAAGCAGCAAAGTATCTCTCACTAAGAAGACTGGCAAGCTCCAGCATTTTGTTGGATTTCTTTTGTTCTTCCTACAAAAAGAAAGAGGGAGAGAGGTTTGTCCGTTGGATAGGCGCGCACTGCAACGGCAAACAAGGAAAAAAAAAGAACTTAAATTTGTACGACTGTATGATTACACGACTAGTCTTCATGTGCATGGTTAGAGGAAACCAAACGCCAATTGAAAGGCCACGTCATCAAAAGAGGCTCTAGGAAGCAGGAAGAAATAAGATTTTACGATTGGTTGTCCATAAAATGCCATTCCTTTCTGTTAAATTACAACCACTCGTGACAAAGGTCAAGAGAAGCTCTATACTTACTTGATGGCTAGCTTTCGCTGCGAGATAACCCCATAGTTTTTCATCCTTCATGCATCCCACAAGCGAAGTTCATGAAGTAAGAGTCAGCTTTTTTCCATGACTAGTTCATTACAGACTTTTCAGCGAATATATATAAGTACTTCGCATACGACATAATGCGAGAACGTCAGGGGAGTATTACTTAATTTTTTGAAAGAGGATTTTTTCTAATGAACGGATAGTTTTTTTTCAAAGAATTTATGCTTAAAACATAGAGGAAGAATAAAACACCGCTTATGACAAGAAACGAGGCGTCTGAGAGATCAGATGCTTGTTAGCTCATATGTGAACAATTTAACTACAAACCTTCTTTCGCAGAGAACTTGAAGACTTTCTGCTGTGAAATTTTGTAAAATATAATTAATGTTACATCACAGAAAAAAATTGTTGGCAACAATATAGTGGCGTTAACAATGGCAAAGTACAGTACAACAAAATAAATCGCTAAAACGAGATAAACTTCGTGGAAATACTATGTACTTACGAAACCAGGTGCTCACCAAACGCAACTATGAAACTATTTTTCTGCCATACAATCACAAAAGTAAATGTTTGGGACGTTTTCTGTAATTCTACTGCAATGACAACCGAGAAAGTTATGACCGAATGACAAGGTGACAAACATATTTCAAGGACTTTTCAAGGACTATTCAAGGACAAATAAAAGTTTTCAAGGACTAAGATTTATTCAAGAAATCGGCATTTTTTAACCCCCTTTTGAACACCTTATTGGCTAAAACACTTAATAAAATCATACACGATGTTTTCTTCTTCAGCCATGGTTGATCACAATTATTTTTTACTACTTTCCATAACAACACTTTGCATAGCAACAGTCACTGAGTATAACTTGCAGTTGCATCTGTGGTGCAGAAAAAGCATATAAAAAATGAACAAAAATGTTTTTACGTTACCGATCAGTTTTTCCTCGACAAGTAATCTAATTTCAAAGAAAACGGTGTAGCTTAAACAAAGCAGTGATTTTCAAGGACTTTTCAAGACCTAACAAAGAAATCAAGTACTTTTCAAGAACCTTAACCAAATTCAGGGACTTTTCAAGACGACTTGACCTTTTTAAGATTGTACGAGCTATGTGAAGGCTACACACGACTTTGTGTGGCCTTATCGCGCAGGCTTGAGGCCTTAAAATTCGACGACGTTTGATGAAAAAGGCTGCATCCCTTTAAACAGAGACCGCCGGCACAGGCACTAATATTCCGTGTTAGCGAGGTGATAGAGTTGGCTGTGTGACGTAAATCATTCAACAAATTCACAGAATTGTTTTACAAAATATTATATGACGGAGAATTCTGACTTGTACAAAACAAGGGAAGAAGGTTTTCAAGTAAACTTCAAGAAATGACTGACCTAGGTGTTGCTGTGAGTTTAGACTCTGTTTTTCCTCCATCCATGACAAGCTTAATGTGAGGACACTGTTCAGTGAATGAGTGACACAATCGACCAACGAGTAGAACTCTGTGAATTATAATAACATCAACATAAAACCAGCTCTTAGATGGGGCTTCTGATTACGCAGATGTAGGAAAGACAATGAGACGTGAAACAAGGTCAGATAAGGTGTGGAATTAGCTACTGACAAAACACTCAGGAAACTACACACGCCTGCCTCTGGTACTAGGACCAGAGCGAAAATATTAAACGCTCTCGTGTGAAGGAAGTTTCCGGTCAAATTTTTTTCATCCGGTCGAAAATTTGTCCGTTGCCGGGTAAACACAGCTTTCAGCTGACTCGTGCTTAGTTGCCTCTGTCGAAGCCTGCCGAACTCGTTACGAAGACTGCTCGGACAAGTCAGAAATATAAGTACGGAATGACAACTACTTTTGTCACCAAATGGCGACATAAATAAATGGGAAAAGGGTTTTGGGATGACAGATAATAAAAATTCTGAGTTAAAGTACCCTGGAAAGTTCATAAAGAATAGGGGTGAGAAGGTTAATAACACAATCACGCGTTATAGACTGTTGACACACTACAATCAGCCAATGATAATCTAGGTCTTCGCACAACCCACGAAGTTCATATCTAAAACTAATTAACTCATATTAACTGTAGTGATAAAGAAAAACTACCTATCAATGCAGATTGTGTCAAAGGAAGACTGTGATTTCTTCGCGAGTACATCATCTGAACCCGACAACATTCTCTCCTTGTGATTGGATATTACCTCATCAATAAACTGTAACAAGCTGTAAAGAAAAAACATGCGCTGACTGACGTCTTTGTGACAATTTACTGAGAGTTTATGCCGAGACTTTCTTCGCTTGATTCTGATTCATCATAAAAAAAAGCCCGCTTCAATTGACATTGTTAACTGTGCAAACCAACGATTTCCTTTTCACCTAGTGGCTTGCATGGCTGGCAGAATTAGCCTATGAGTGCAGATTAGCTTGCGAGTGCTGTACTGCTTTGGCGGCAAAGCCTCGAGAAAATTAGGAAAGAGTCAAAATCGCGAAAATACGCCCCGCGCATAACAATCCCGCCATCTACGCAGGCCAGTTTTTCCTCAGGCTCTCACTGGATATAACTAGGGTGTAACTATTGGCAAAACAAAGGCAAATCTAACAGCTCTTCATCAATCTGATTACTGAGGCTTGTAAAAGGTGCTGACAAATGAACGCTGAGTTCGGAATTTTTGTGCCAAGTAAGTGAGTACTTTTCAGCGTTCGCCCAGGTACAGGCTAATTATCTTCTACCTCGTTGTACATCAGCTTAAAAACTTTTGAGAACGATGAAACTGTTTCTGTCCCTTTAATAACCTAACAATGGAAATGGATTTAAACTCAGTGAAGTATCGTGAAAAGTTCGAAAACTATGAAATTTACCCCCCCCCCCCTCCCCTGGGGAAAAATTGATTCAAACAACTGGGAGATTCAAAAAATCGAGGGTTCGAGAAATAAGTATTTTACCGTAATGACAATGATAACTTTTACAATTCAAGACCAAATACAACGTCTTTTGGGCAAGAATGATGATGCAAAATGACTTACTGATTAAAAGCTGAGAAACATGTTTCTTGCAGGAATGATTGGATGTGTTGGGAATCACCAAATCGGTCAAATGGCTCCAAATCATTGATGACGGTTTTGTTTCCAGAAAGAAAGCTTAAGTCAGAGACTCTACTCATTGAAGTTCTCTTGGACAGTCTCGTGTCCTTATTCTGTTGGGAAGCCACGATAAAGTATTGAGTATCTTCAAGAGTTGCTGCTAATTTATCATCAACGGCCTTGCACAATCTGAAGAAGACAAAAAGAGAGTAGTTATGGCTATATGGCCTGGCCAGTAAAGATAAATCCTTTTAAAAGTTGATTGTATCGCTAAGGATGTTTGCCTTTCTGACCTCATTGCAATTCACTGATGTCTGAGCTTGGAGATATGTTTCACTTTCACCTACAAGTAAGCCGATGTCAAATGTCACATTTACTACTCGCACGGCCGGCCACCCGGACTGAAAAAACAACAACAAAGCCGAATCTTTTTTCGACTAAATTTTGATGTCTATGTTGTGGTTCAATTTTATCCTTGTATGGTAATGCATGATAATGAATTCCAAACAAAAGAAAACAATTTAAACAAGGAGCGCTTACCATTTGTACGGAAATTTCGGTGAAAAACTTACCGTCAAATGGTACTGGTATGTTTTTTGGCATCGAAAGCAGGATTGACTTGTACCGGTAAATTTTTCGCTTTCTCTCGACATGAAGCCTGACACAAGTAAACCAAACAAATGGTACAGAAAATTTCGGTCGTTTCGGTAAAAACGGAAAAAAGGTAATATCTCGAAGGGTATTACTTAATTTCAGCCGGGATGAGCCGCTCCATTTGAATTCTCCCCGGAATTTCCGGGTTTTCCATACAAATGGTAAACGCTCCAAGGATAAAATTGAACCGCAACATCTACACTAACATGGACAACAGAGAAAGAGCGAGCGCAGAAGACGCAAAACTAAGGAGACGAATTTCGCTGAAAGAACAACAAGAATATTTTATTGAGGCGGTGAGAAAATGAGAAGTGATAGCTTCAGCAAGATGAAAAATGAGCAACAGTGAAAAAAACGCGAACAGGAACACAAGATCGAATTTTTTTGCGAACAATGCGAAACGATCCTCCATAAAACGTGTAACTAGGAAGCTTCACGTTTTAGTCGTGCAACAACAACAGGACAAAAAAGTTTGCTGTGAGTGCAAAGTTGTTTGTTTTGGCTAATTAGACCTATTAGTTTTGTTGCCATTCTCACTGCCCTCGCTGTTTAGCATTACACCATTTTATTGTTTGTTTGCGTAATTAAATTAACAAGAGCTTCGCTTTTAGCCCTGACTAAATCTATATATGCGTACTTAGGGAGAGGTTGAACCGTAAGAAGACATGATTTGCTTTGCCCATGCCGGGCAGTCGGAAAAAAAGCTTGACACTTTACCTCTGTACAACAGGAGTGCAGGCTCGTGCCTTTAGTATAAGTCCACTATCTTGCTCATTAAGTACCGCACTGTCAGTTCTGGGAACATCATTTGGACTCTCATGCCACACATACACGGCAATGTCCCTTTCCCATAGTACAGAAGGGACAGTGACATTGCAATCACTGATATCACTTTGAGCTTTGGTTATTAAGTTCTTACAAGACGTCACAGTGGCATCAAACAGACCTTTCAAAATAACCTGCAATGCAAGAAAAATTGGACTAGAGACACTGGGATTTTATCTAGCAAACATGTATAGAAACAAACAAACTAACAAACGAACAAAAAGTTACATCAGATTTATTTAGCTTAAGTAAATGAATAAAACAAATAAGTAGTTAATAAATAGATATGGTAACTAAGAAAGAAGTCAGAGAAACCTTTTATCACGTCACACCGTAAACTGCCGCTTATAAGCCCTGGCCGGGCATATACACCTTCGTAAAGGGTTTTTGAGAAGGCTTATATATGAAGGGACTTACAAATAGAAAATAGAAATAGAAAAAGCATTATGAAACAAGCTAAGTTATACCAGTGCTGATCAAAATACGTTTTGCATTTACTGGTTTTTAATTAAGCAACGAAACGTACAATAAATCGAATTAATATCGATGGAGGGGAGCGTAAATTCAGCTATAGATTATTGTTTATTGGTAGATGAGCCTATAACTGGGTGGGGGCAGTAGCTTACAATAGTACCAGTCTGCAGCAGTACCTTTGCTCTGTTAAGAAACAGGGGCTGAAGAAACTCCGCCCAGATGGATACATCACGTCCAAGAACTCTGTTACAAAGAGTTGACCAATCTAAATCTTGATCATCTGAACCAACTGCCTTCTCTGCCTTTCAAGCAAAAACAAACAGATAATCACAACGAAAACTTCGTATCAAGTAAAGTTGTGACTGGGGGTTATTCTTTCATCAAGTCACACATGGCATTCACTTAATTTTACACTATGAGTTTGACATTTCCAAAGCGTTCATCTAAAAGAGCTAAACAATATTTTTCAACACAAAAACTTAACAGGGGCTAATTTTTATCATGGACAGGAAATGACTGGAATTTTCAGTTGTGCTTTGTGGTCAAAGTTAGAAAATGCAAATCTTTTCAGATTCAACAGCAGTAAGCATGTCAATCCAGATATTTACTTACAAATTTAGTAGTATTCTACAGTGTATAAGCTCAAATACACGTGTGGCATATTTGTACAAAAATGGCCTTATACAGCTGGAATGACTGTAAATACCTATTGCCGTGCTAAAATCACATCACCCAAGACTAAATCCTTTAGAGAGGCATTTCAGTGTTTGCCTTAACATATAAAACATTCATCAGTTTAGTCTTTGGCCCAAACTGAATAGCTACCAAGCTACATGTGCCAAAACTCCGACTTGGACAGGTATGTCCCTTATGCAGACATCAAAGAAAAAGACTGACATGCTGTACAGACCAACTTAATATGTGTCAGTTTAGAGAATTGTCCATTCCTGCAACCCTCTGTCCGAAGTAGTCACCAGTTTTCTTGTAGTTATAGTTTTCCTTACTTATATTTTTATGAAAAGCAAAACCTAATACGACAAAGCAGAACAGCAGTTAACATGCATACATAGTTCATTATGTAGTATGGTACAGATGTAGCAAAATGATTCAGGAGTGGTACCTCTTTGAGCAGGTCCCACACAGCATCTCTAATAGAGGCCAGTCCTTTGAGAGTACCAATGTATTTGAGCAAGCTGTTGACTCCGGTGGTGACATCCTTCATACACCTGGTTAGAATCATTGAATCAGAATAGTGTTTTGGGCTCTGTCTAGATACTGGTTTACTTCAAAGTTACATTATACAATATAAAAAAATCACTGTTGACACAGGATAAGTTTTTAGAGAAATACAAACCAAACAAGAATTCCTCTTGCAGAATCTCTTGCACATGATTGTGCCTTAAATGAAAATTTCACAGTACAATCCTTGTTAATAAAATTTCCACAGAATATGTGCAATGATTTGTGTGCATTCATGCTGGTGGACCAGGCTGGGTGCATTGTAAACTTGATAAAGCGTAAACTTAGGATTAGCACATGACTGTTTTATCAATATGCACTGAACCTGATCTGAACAATAAAAGTAAGTAGTGAAGCCATTAATTTTTGTAATACAATGTTAAAAAATAACCAGTCAGGAAGTGCATTGACAAGGGAATATAAATAAGAAATGAATAAAACATAAGCCAGCTAGCTTACATTGACAACCATTCTGCACAGTTATGATGAATGTTTTGTTTGGATATAACAGATGGAAATGCCCTCAAATGTGGTCTACACCCTGCAAAAAAGTACATGTACTTTACTTAAGTGTCAATTTATTTAGTACGCAATTACTAATCAATGAGACTATTTTTAAATATCCTACTTTGAGATGGGACTGCGCTGTCTACATGGTCATCATGTATATGTAACTACATATACTTGTGCTTTAATTTACTGAATCTTACTTACACAAAATGCACATAAACACAATATTAGTTAAGTCCATTAATGTCAGGTGGATTAATTAACAACTTAATCCCTTAACTGTGTAGTTCAAGATAACATACACAGTCTTTGGCAGTAAATGGGACTAAAGGTTATTGGGTGCACCCTGGGGTAAAACAAGGGTGGCAACAACACACCCCATAAAGTGCATGCAATAAGCGTGGCAGCGACACACCCTAGTAATATACATAATGGAATGAGGGTGGCAGCAACACACCCTAGCAATGAGCAGTGCAGTGAGGGTGGCAGCGACACACCCTGCACGGTAACGGACGAGGCAACGAGTGGAGCACATCCCCACCCAGGAGTGAATAAACTAAGGTGGGGTGGGGGCCCCACCCGGCCTGCTACGCGGAGGTAAAAGTAGCAGGTGTGCACCCAAGCCAGTAGTCCAGCTTTATTGAATTGAGGGCGTGTGTGGCAGGGAAAAATCAGAAACTAATGCGTAGTAAACTACTATTGGAAAATACAATGCGTGCACGCAAAGTGAATAAAACAAAGGAGCACACAGCTAGCATTGATGGATATAAGTATAACATAGTATCGATTACAGCTACTAACAATGAAAACTTGTTATCACCGAAGTTTGTAGAAACAACTGAAGGTCAGTTATTCATGTAATCTAAGATAAACAAGGAGCTCATGAACCAGAGCTGAGTCACGCAATGTTCTTTATGTGCGATAGCAACATATTTGCCACCCAGGGCAAAGTAAATCATAATGAAACAATGGCTGAAGTACGCTCTACTTTACTCGCTCGAGTAAAATGTCCATATACCTAACACAGTTTTGGGAAGGAATCTTGCACTAGTCACCAAGTCAAAGTCAGGGCCAAATAGTGCTTCCAATGCTGCAACACAAATATTTTTATTTTCTCAATAACAATACATGGGTAAATAGTAGAGTCAAATCTGTGTTTAGAGATCACCATAAGGGAAAGACAAATAAAAAAAATAACCCGCATGGTGACTCTCCATCAAAAAAATATATAATTACAGGTCAAAATTAAATTCAGGTTAAAATTTTTTAACCTAGGTTGATTCTTATAATCTGATAAATTATTCATAATAAATTATTTATTAATTAGGGATAGGGGACAAAGGAAATTGAGAATCAACTTAAGTTAAAAAAAATTAACTTGAATTTAATTTTGATCTGTAACTTATATATTGACAATTCCACTAAAACTTTATCTTTTCATTAGCAAAAGCCATTCACGTATTAATGCACTGGTACATGGTAATTCTTAACAGAGTAATCATCCAATAAAGAAAAAAACAAAGAAACAATAGTTGGATCCTCCTAGTTGGGATCTAGGGAAAGGTGTTCATACTGATCAAGGTCACAATAATTAAGAGGAAAATATTCATACTATAATATTACTTTGTGAGAATGGCTTATTACTTGAAGGAAGTTAGTGACATACTGTATTAGCGAGGATCCCTTGTTGCTGGGGTTTACTTTACCTTCCTCATCGCTGTTTGCAGAGGCTTCTCTTTTTATAACATAAGCAAGAGTTTTAAACACAAGTGCCGGATTATCTAAACAATAAGAAAACATTAACTGTTTTATGGGTTTTGTAATGAACATAATACTCTCTGGGGTGATTAGTTTAACAAATAATACTACTGTTTTAGACTAATAAACACTTCAAAATTTAAATATCTTTCAGGTTTTGGAGAATCAAGTAATATAGGGAACACTGAACATGACTAAATGTACCAGTCTGAATCTTAATACATGCAATTGTGGATGTTGGAGACAGCTAATACACATGTAGCATTGTTTTGCTTGTTTCACTCTTAAGTTTTGTTATTTAAAAAAAAAAATCTGCTAGTACAGTCATTTGGAAACACCAAAGTAAAAACATTTTGACACTCTACAGATGCCATGGAAATGGCACAGTTCATTCTTGCACCTTTAACAGCCTTGGATTTGTTTGGTTACATAATAATAACTGAAGAATTCCAATTCCCTTCACATTGGTTTCCAAGGTATGAATAGAATAAAGGCACCTGGTTTTTATTTTTTATTTATTTTTTTTCAGACCCAAAGTACAATGTACTTCAATTAAGTCTAACGCCCTTTGCACGTTTTTAAAAGTAACATGAAATAATACTCGCAAACAAACCTTTGAGTTCAGTTTCTTCATCTTCATTATCACAGTAGAACAAAGAATGAATTTGATAGAGACTGTTTCGAATGACTCGTACAACTTCACAAACTTGGGACTTGATACTTGTAGCTGCAGAGATGATGATGATATACAGTCATTTAAACAGTTATTTATTTTGATCTGTTTGTAGTTTCATCACATTTTAGTAACTTTTTGTGACCATTTGGATCAAGCAGAAGGAGATACTAAGTCACTAAAAAAGGACCTGCTATTTTAATTCTTTGAAAAATATTCTTTTAACTGGCATTTTGAAGTAGGAAACTAAAAATAGTCTCCTTATTTCATGCCTCTTTCCTGTCTTCTGTTTTATAAGAACACTTGCAATTGAAGCAGTCACGTGAAAAAGTTTCAAGAAGAAGGAGTGACCGGTAAGACGATTGAACAAGAACCATAACTTTCTTTGAAATATTTGCCATTCAAATGATTTCCAAGTTTTTCTTAATAATCATTTATTCCAAAATACAACGAGTACAATAATTTTCACATGGCATACATATACACACAGACTACACACCTATGAACACATGCAATTATACAATCACTACATCTAATGATTTCCAAGTGGCACAAGGATCAGAGCCCTACATGGGCTCTAATAATTCAAGAAAATGGCAGCAGAAAATAGAATATCTCACCATGCTGACATGGATGAAAGATCTCTTTTAATGCAGCCTTTCTTGCCAAGATAAATTCAGTAAAAACTTGACGAGGTGAGCTCTCCTCCAAAAGAAGAATTGAACACAATGACTCTGCAAGCATCTGATGAGAAATAATGTGTTCAAAAGAAATTACCCTTATTACATGTAGTTTATAAACATAATGGAGAGGATCCACACTACGATCTTCTGTTCTTCATTGCTCGTACACTAGTATTCTTACCTCATCAGTTTGAGTGGCATCCTTTAACAAAGCACGGCTACCCTATTTAGAAAAATAATGAAAACACTATTTTGAAATGACACCTGTATTAAAAGCAGGTTCTTTGAAATTTCAGTGTTTTAAATAACAATGAACTAATGTTACTTCACTTCTTCTATTATAGCATTTTTGAGCTTAGCCAAGTACTACTAAACTCTACCTGAAGAATGGAATCCTTGAAGTGACTGATTGCTGCCCACTGTTTGGGTAAAATTGGGAACGATGACTGCAAAGCACAAAGATAGAGAGGATTGTAAGTATAACATTGAAGAAACAATCTAATGTTCAACAATTATAAAATATTGTTAACCATAGTAAGGAGAAAAAAACAATGTTCAAACAACAGATTAACTATTTCAACAATCATTTTATATCTATCAGTGTGCTTTCATGTTTAGAAGCCACGACAAGTTCTTCATCTTACCAAGTTGGTGACTAAACTTTATGGCTGCCTTTACTAATGCTTATTTTTTTGTTTGGTGATAAGTGCTTTGATTTAATACACCTGTACCACTGAGGCATATTTGGAATAAGAAAATCCTAAAAATATATTATACTGCCAAAGTGTAAATGATTTTGTCCACAGCAAGTTCACACTAGCAGTAGCTCTAAACTTAGGGATAGGATTGGTGGGCCAGGTAATTTTATTATAATGGGGCACACAAATTTAGTTTGAAAATCTGTAATCATACTCAATCTTGTACCCATAAGTCCAATCTTAAGGTCCCTATCATTTCAGCCATGATACACAGTACTTGTTTATTATTATTATAACCATATTTAACACACCAGTAACTTAGGTGCTGAGGAATCCCCAGTGTCAATGTGGAGGATGCTAACAATGTGATGGGAGAAAAGGTACAACTGAGCTGCCTTTAGATATTGCTTTCTCTCCAATGCACTCCATACCTATGGATGTCGATGGGAAGAAAGAAAAATAAAAATAAAGAAAAACAGTGTAATTACAACTTAGATTGAATGCTATAACTTATCTATATACATACAGTCTAGAGAAGGAATTTCCTCCACCCCTTTAATATAGTGACCATCAAGAATACAGGTACAGTGTAACACATGATTCAATTATCTTTCCAAGTCAAGTATACTTCAGTGTAGTACACTCTCCACAGCTTTACCAATTATTCATATACTTCTTTACTGTTTTCCCCTCTAGATTAGAGAAACAGTGCATCACATTTGTCAGAAAGAAACAATACCTTTTCTGGAGTATCTACTAACAGCTTCATCTGAGATGCAATGGCATAGAAACCATTCTTAGATTGTGAAGATCTAAGAAAAAATAGAACAAAATCTGTCAGCACCCTAGTAATGTGTAAGAGTAAGCAAGCAGACATAAATAGCTGCCTTAATTTTTGCTTGCTACTTAACTTTTTGTCAAACTCCTTAAACACTTATTGATAAACTGATGCCACTATCTAAATATGCGATGTTTACACAAAGGTGAAGCTTACTCAAGAAAGGTGCAGAGTACTAAACTAGTACTACATAATAAGACAAGACAAGTAATGTAACTAAGAAATTTTTTTTATGTAATCTATGTACTCAAAGTCACTGTCTCTAACATCTCAGCAGAGTAAATTGAAGTAATTTGTTGTCAACATTTAGGGTGCTTGTGAGACATACAGGCTGTATACTATTAGTTGAATGTTATATCTTATTTACCCTTTTCCCGCTGGTTGAGTTGATTGAGTACCACCTACACCATGGCATTTGTGGGACAGATGAAGTTCCTTACATTGTTTCTGAATATCATGCACAAAGTTCATCACCTATGATGACAAAGGTTACGTATTAACTTAACAATCCATTTGCTTTTTAGAATGACATGCTGGTTACTTCACTGGCAAGTATACAGTTTGCTCACAGACCACCTTTAGAACCCAAACATCCACCTTGTATAAGATTATGGCAAACCACTTACCTATCCATCCCTAACCCAATGTTGATGTTAAATTCTCACAGACATGCACAGAAAGCAAATTTTTGACATCAATTTGTGCTAAATGGCTTTGTTTTACTCCTTGCCACAGGGTTCTCAATAGAAGGCGGCACCCGGCGATTGATCGCCGCTTACTTTGGGATTTATAGCCGCTTACTTTATGTTTAAGTCGCTTTTCTTTGCTTTATTTTGACACCTCTGGCTTTGCTGAAGAGCCTCCTACTTTATCAGTGATCACCTCCTACTTAAAAATCTATTGAGAACCCTGTTGCCATATAAAATATGGGAATTTTCAAAGAATTGTCAGTGGATGTTTTACTTCACTAAGTACACACTGTAGAAGAAATCTTGCGATGGGTGATGAGCAAAAAGACTGTTGCTACATCATAAAGATTTTACAATATCCTAACTCACCTGACCGGCACAGGTTTTCATTTCTGTAACTGTATCAGCTGCATCAATAAGATCCCGGTATCTTTCCCTGAAACAGAGACACCTCTTTAATTCTAAACAAGTTCTAGGTCCTTGTTCTAGTTTATGAACTGGGATTTTGGTCCCTGGCATCTATAGCTGCCACTACGTAAATCAAAACGAAAATATAACGTTACATAACTCACAGTATGGACAAGGAACACAAGTTCAGCAGCTGAGATTTTTTTTCCCCTCTGGGTAATTTGGAACAGGTTCAAAAGAACACCAGCACAGCAGGCCACTAAGCAATACAGACCCTTAAATTCAACTGAATATGTGTACAGGGTGCACCTAGCCTTTTTGCAGGGACATCACTACTTCTCTAAAATCAGTTACTCAATGATGTCTGGCTTTTGTTACCTGTATTTGACAAGAACTGTAGAGATAGATCTTTGCATTATTCAATATTAATTGAAAACAGAAATCACTTGTCTGTACTGTTGAAGACAAGATGGAGAACCAGATAAAATGTTAAGCCAACATTGGATTAACACCGGTTTCCACTATCTTATGGAAATCGGTCACATTTTTCATAACAGATAAATTTTCAGTGATAAAAAACACTTTCCCAGTTGAAATCTGGCCAATATCCTGTCTGAATGACTCAGAAACCTAGGAAAGGGGACTTTAAGGTGTAAAAATCCAAAAAATTTCGGGGGGACCCAGCTAGAAGCTTGAGCTCGTTTAGGAAATCAGTCAGTATTTATCCAAGATCGGCACCTGTTCTGGGTATGGTGATGTATGATAATGAGTTTAAAACAAAGGGAAACAAAATTTAAACCAAGGATAAAAATTGAAACACAACAGATATTTGCATAATGTCCAAGTTAAATTTTTAGCGGTTTAGGGAGGTGATTCTTCCGTAGAATTTATTTACATGGCGGTACTAGGTCGTAAGAAGCAACTTTTTAACTGTGCTTAAACTAAAATTTGACATTTAGAACTGAAATCTCCCCGTGAAGTTCTAGGAAGAAACAAATAAATCTTAAACAATTTAGCTTATACAAGGAAGTAGTTTATAAAGCCTTACCCAACCATCAAGCGAAGATCTTCTTTTTTTCTCTCAATGTCACCCCTGCAAGTTGTAAAAAAATTGAGTTAAAATCTCTTCCTGTCTAATATACTTCTTGGATATTCAAAATAACGATCCGGCTAATGACTGGCCTCGTTTTGTGCTCTACGGCTCGGATTTCTTCAACAGTGTGACTGGAAAAGAGGGAATCACTGTCCATTTCGGCATCCCAATGAACTGAGGAAATATATTCAAATCAGTATCTCTACCGTAAATAACCAGAGGAAATGAATAATTATTAGCCTTAAACAGTAATCATTTTACTAACAAGATTCTGCATTGTTTTGACGTGGCGACAAAGGAGATATTTGTGGTGTCTTAGGAGATTTCGGGCTACGTGGAGCGTCCGCCATCTTGCCCCTTCCCGCTCGACCAAGGCCTTTCCCCCGCGCTTTGATTTTGAGAAGGCCCTGGAAATGAGTTGCGTGACGTAATGTGAAGTTGTGTTTCGTATGAACGGAGAATTTTCCAATGCATCGAGGAGAGTCCATGTTTGTACGGAATATTTGTTCGCAAGGGCATGGTTAACCTAAGCGACATTTTTAGATCAGTGTTTGGGCTTCCTAAAGAACGACTTGGTCCTAACGATTTGCCCAGGTACGTTTTGAAATGGGAGGAACACGACAAAACATGCTCATGAAACAATTGCAACCATCTTGAAATATACTTCCGCACTTTCATTTTGTGCCCACTTGACTACGTGCTGTAGTCAGTCTCGACTTTTTTTATACTCGGTATAAAAGATTAAGTAAGACTACAAGGCACACTGTAGATTTCTATGGCTTGGTTTTCATCGGCGCTTAAGCTTAAGCATACGCATAAGCACATGTGTAAACAAGTGAAAACTGGGTCAGCATAAGCATAAGCACAAGAAAAACGGGAGAGTTCGTTCTTCTTGTGCTTGTGCTTATGCCTATGTCATAGCTTTGACCAGTGAAAAGGAGGTTGAAGCACAAGGCCGTGGACCAATCAGAAGTAACTTTGACCCAGACCTCATGCGAACATATCAAAAGCAATATGGCGAGCACCTCGTCTGCCATCTTGTTTATCATCAGGTTGACGAGAGCTGGTATCGCGAATTGAGTCTAATATGCCATTCTGCGCTTGCTTATGTCCTTGTGCTCATGCTTATGCACTAGTGAAAACCAGGTTTATAGGAGATGATAGTTACTGAGAGACTTTTGGCCCACTATCTGTAACAGAGGTCTAGATTTCACCTTCTAATAGTACCCTAAAGTTCCCATAGTAGCGACTCCCCGAAAGTTACAACCCCCTTAAAGTAACGTTAAAAGTTTCTGACTTCTAATGAATCCCAAAACTAGCAAGTCCCCGAAAGTAGCAAGACGAAGTTTTTTTAATTACATTATAAACATACCCCATTTTATTGTTTTCCAATTATTGCAATCCATAGTCAAATTTGTATTGTACAACAAGGTAGTACAACTCGTTCCAGCAAGTGACAAGACAATATTGGTATTTAAATATCCAGAGCCACCAATGTGGCGGACAAAACGTGAAACTGGACATAATTATGGACACAGTACCTTGTAACACAAATAAAATGTTTTTTTTATATATATATTATGTTGTGTATTTTTCATTCCGGAAAAGAGCTAGCACCAGCCTTGTTTTATGGTTTTTTGTCCCTGAAAATAATGACACCCGGAGAGTAACGACACCCCGAAATATTCGAGCCCCAAAGGCTGCTAATTCCAAAAGTAACGAGGGTCGCTACCATGGGAACTTTCCAGTATTTTCCTTTGTCAATCAAACTTATAGTAATCGAACTGAGTCAAACTCAATCCATATATTGAGTTCAATGCAGTTCAAATAACACTTCTTTGTGAACTCTTTCATAGCTAATAACATCACGGCCTAACTGACAGATGACCAATAACAGCGCAACTTAATTGACCATTTAGGTTAATAACCAGATTTTAATGACGTCAACTGACATGATACAACTCACTTTGACTCAGAAGATGACTACTGCACAGGTTGTTGAAACATCAGTCACTGTCAACAACAGTCCTATTCAGGACTTTGTTCACCCGGACGATCATGCTCAACCCACTTATGAAAGAAGGCCCCCATGGTGGGGGCTCGCTGGGCTGTTGACTGCGTATACTTCCCAAAATATTAAACCACTGCATCAGATTATAATACACTTCTTTCCGGATCGAGTGTGTAGCTGCTCCTAACCAGTGGAATGTAATAGTATACAACTATCCCCCGAAGGGGAGGTGAATAGTATACAACCATCCCCGGAAGGGTAGCTGAATAGTGGTGGATATATATCGAGATGCGAAACGTCAGGGTATATTAATATATCTAGCGCTATGAACTGACCCCGAGGAGGATAGTTGTTTTAGTATTTACCAAATCAGTTGGATAAAAAAACAAAAAGGAAGTTTTTGTAAACAAAAGACGTCACTTAGTTAGAGTTTGTTTATGTTTCAACTGACAGTGTTTCAGGAATCATTTTTTATGATTTTGTTGCAAATTCAGGAAGAAATTTTTTTTCTCTACCAGCCAGTAAACACTGACAAGCCAAATTTTGTCTCTTTCTTGGTATTTGTTGATGCAGCTGTTTCATTTACTGCTAAAATTTTACCTTTCAAAACTGTTGCAAAGTAAGAAGCCATATTGAATCCTGTCGCAAAACAGTGAATATCCAAGGATATTCTGAGTTATGGGAGCCAATCAGAACACGTGAAAATTGCTATCCACTGATTTGGTGAATACTAATGGTGGAGATATACATAGATCTGAAGTGTCGAGGTATATATCAAGCGAAAACAAGCAACTTTTTGAAAATTAGAAATGTCACTTACCGGTAGTAGGAACTTTGTGTACAATTTACAAACATTTTGGGGATTTTGTCAAGTGCATTTTTACGATTTTGTTGCAAATTCAACGTGAAAATCATTTTCTACCTTCTGGTAAACACTGACAAGCTAAAGTTCATCACTTTAGTGGTATTTGTTTGTGCGACTGCTTCATTTATCCTGATTTTTCGCTCAAATTTCTTCTTTCAAAAATGTCTCAAAACAAGACACCATCTTGGCTCTGGTCGCAAAACAGTGAATAGCCAAGGATATTCCGAGTCATTGGAGCCAATCAAAACAAGCAAAAATTGCTATTCGCTGATTTGGTAAATACTAAAGATGTATGTACTTAGCCTTATGAAACAAGAGACAAAAGTCCAGTTTCGAGTTCACTATGACCGCTGAATTAAAG